TTTCACTAAGAAATTAATGTGTCACGTTGCGAGGTGGCTGGTGGACCCCAAAAAGCAGGCAGGAGGGAGGAGCAGGGTGAACTTGACGGGTTGAGTTGTATCGATAAAAACACAGAAAACTAAATCCAAAACAAAGTGCTGAAAACAAAACGAATCCAAAGTATCAAAACAAAACCCAGGCTGTAGCTAAAAACTAACAGTCACCAAAACATGACCAAGAACATGACAGACAAAAATGACAACAACAAACAAACAAACAATAACCCGACACCGAGTGGTCGTGCCAAGAGTCCTTTTCCAGCAATAATTACAAAATGACTAACAGGTGTGCAGCTGCAGGGAGAGCCCTACAGTGCCACCTGTTGGTCACAAACCAAAACATGACAGCAAGTGATTAAAATGTGCTCAACTAAGGTCATTTTTCTACTCTTTTCCTCAAAAATATTCAACTGATGTTTGTAAGTTCAACACATTTTAATCATGTGCAACAGATGTATAGCTCCGATTTCTAAATCCAATGGAACTAAATGATTTTTTTTTTGTTTTTTTTTTTAGTGGAGATATTCACAGCCTTGGCCACGAAAGTCATAATGGTAATAATTTTTCTGTGACACACACACCACCATGCTGGAGGCCCAGGCATTGTTTTGTTAAATGCTTATTGCCAAACATGCCAAATTTACATACTCATGATTTTTACTATGTTTGAAAAAAATGCAAGCTTATGTTATTTTTCATATGGTGGGTAGCTTCATTGGTTAATTATTCCATTGCAATTATATAAATAAGACTGCACCATGACAAAATGTCAACAAAATGAAATGGAGTGAATACTATAGCAGATAAATTAAACTTCAATGTCCTCTGACCCGTTTTGTCTCTCCTCTCTGCACATACTCCACGCCCACAGCTCGGTGGCCATCAAACAGGATCTTGGTGGCCAGGCAGCGCACCTCTGTCTTTAGGTTGGGTCGATCCAAGACCGGTCTCAGGTAGGCACTGGCTGTGCTCCACCTCTTCCCTGCAAATTGTTGTATGATATTAAAGCATAACAATGTTATACCTATGAGGGGAGTTAGGCAAAACTAAGAAAAAAATTGCTGGCAGTAACAATGTTAGCCCTGAATTACTTATCAAAACACATGGATCCATATTGATGTGGTCGTGGCGGACAATGAATCCAATGTAAAGATCTTCAAGTTGTAGTAGTTCTTTAGCTTGTTTACCTTTAAAAATGGTCATGTCCATCCAGCCCAAGCCTTCTTGTTGATATCCATTCATGTCTTCAGTGAAGGGGTATCCCGCCTGTTGCCCTGCCTCAATAAAAGCCTTGTGAAGAGGATGGTTAGTCTTCCCCCGGGACACGTGTAGTGGGCCACTACCTCCACGATACCTGCGGAGAACATATTGAAGTGATTCGCGAATCTGAATTGAGTCCATTTTTGACTGCAATTACATTTTGGAATGCGGAATGGCTAAGACAGCCAATGCTTGCATGGCTGTTGTTGATCAATATTATTGAACTGTCAGAAAGTTAATATGGCTTTATGGCTCTATGTGTTTTTTTGTACATCCAGCCATCCATGCATCAATTTACTGATCCGCTTTATCCTAACAAGGGTTGCGGGGCGTGCTGGAGCCGAGACTAGCTGTCTTTGGGTAGTAGGCGGGGGACACCCTGAACCGGTTGCCAGCCAATCGCAGGGCACACTCACACCGAGGAACAATTTAGATTGTTCAATCAGCCTGCCATGCATGTTTTTGGAATGTGGGAGGAAACCCGAGTACCCGGAGAAAACCCACGTAGGCACGGGGAGAACATCCAAACTCCACACAGGGAAGGCCGGAGCCGGAATCGAACCCGGTACCTCTGCACTGTGAGGTCAAAACGCTAACCACGCGTCTACCAGGCCGCTCATCTTTTGTACGTTTGTTGCTTATCAGTATTACTGCACTATTGGCCATTTTAATGACTCCCGGATAAATAGGATCCAAGATTGGGTTGAGGGAGTCAAAGGTGAAATCTTTGTACATGTCTGCTATCAAAGCACTCCACAGGCAGCATTGTTCTACCCATTACGACACCGGCATGGGAACCACACATTCAGAGAGACATTTTCCCTTCCAACCATGTTTAAAAAGAAGATCAGTCCATCAATTTATTTTCTGCATAGTTGATTAAGATAATTGAATGTTTTAGTCCTGATTACTGTGTAGAACTGGAAGAAGTTAATCTGACACGAAGCAATTTTTGTTGTTGTTGCAAACCTGTTGCCTCCCTGTTCGTGGCACTGCGCTTTCCTGAAGTAAGGCAGGCAGTGGTTGTAATCCCAGCCCTCGGCTCCTTCCCTCTGCCAGCGGTTGTAGTCTTCAGCGTGCCCACGGATGTACACCATGGCGTTGAGCGAAGACGAGCCGCCCCAGACTCGCCCCCTGGGCCAGTACATGACCCGGTTGTCCATGTGGGCCTGAGGCAAGGTGTGGTAGTACCAGTTGTACCTGTAGGAGAAAGAAGGGTGACACCGTAGTTCAGATGGCGGGAAGTATCAGAAAATATTCATCATTCAATTTAAAAAATGGGCAATGTATTCACATTATATCTTATATGGAAAAAGAACTACTTTATGCAGTAATTCATTTATATCATACAGTATTTAATGACTGGATAACAGATATTTGTAACTCAGCAAGACACATGTCCAATTCCTACTCCTGTGGTTTGCAATTTCTTTTTGAATATTGGTCAGAAGCTGTCGGTCCCAAATTAACTGACTACCGTACTTGTCGTCACAAAGGTTGTAGGTCAGTGCAGCTGGCATGTGGATCTTCCACGACAGCCGTACGCTGCCGAGCAACATGTCTTTTGGTCCGGCTTCCAACAACAAGGCTGACTCCTGGGCATCCTCTGTGAGACGATTGGCGAGAACGCAGCCTGCTGATCCCGCCCCAACGATAACGAAACTGTAGGATTTCTGATGGGCTGAAGACGACGCTGAAGATGGTGACGCTGGAGTCTGACGAGGATCTGTGGTACTGACACATCTGTAATGGTGGGAGACAGCACCAAGGCGGCAGGTCCTCGGAACAAACTGACAGTCAGGCAAACGGGTGAAGAAGCTCCTGCTGTATGCTGAACATCTCCCACTCACAAGTTGTTTGGCTCCGGCTACGCCAGGCATGGCCAAAGACAACATGCTGCTTCTGGTTGGGTTCTTTTCGTATAATGGTCAGCTGTCAGTGGAAACAAGAGCGAACATTAGAACAGTGATTCTCAAAGTGGAGTATCATTAGGGGTCCGCAGGCTCCCTCTAGTGGTATGTGAAAGAATCACTGAATTAAATGTTCAAACATTGCAAAACGTTACAGTCAGTGTTGCCACATTTACCTTGGAAAAGTAACTAACTTGCTTAACTGCTTACTTTATATGTAATTCAGTAAAATTGTTGGCTTGGTTTTCAAAGTAACTCATCTTAGATTACAAGTTACTTGAAAAAAAGTCAACAGATGCCAACAACTGGTTAGCACGGCGTGTTATTGCAATAATAGTGATGAAGCCTTTACTACCGGAGACAAATTCCTTGTGTCTTCTACATACTTGGCCAATAAAGATTCTGATTCTGATTTGAAGAGCTAACTATTTTTTGATCTGCACTTGGTTTATAGTTTGACAACCACTACATGAGAGGACACATGGAGACAGACCTTAAATTAAATAGTCAGATTTTGATAAAATAACAATATGGCCCAAATATGACATTACTATTTCTTGTGATACAATGTCAAAACTGCCACTTCTTTAAAGGCGAATATCTCATGGTTTGTGGAGGTGGTACTTTTCAATGAAACTGAATGAGTGGAAAAAAAAGTTGAAACCCAACAACAATTAATAATAAACTCAATCCCATGTGTAAAATAAATAAATAAATACATACATACATACATACATACATACATACATACATACATACATACATACATACATACATACATACATACATACATACATACATACCGGGAAGCCAGAGTACCCAGTGAGAAACCACACAAGCACCCGAAGGACATGCAAAAGATTCAAAACCAGAATTGTTCAACACTCATACAAATGTGCGCGCCACACCACGCTGCCCCATTTGACACTTTAGACACTGATATTTATGTTTCGGCAAGACATTCTTACATTTTGCATGTGCCCTTATTAAGTTCCTGACCTAGATGGTCACTCATTAATTTCACTGGTAAGAAATGTTTAACTAGGTCTGCTTTTGTTTGGATCCAAACCGGACTTTATAATGTCCTTTGCTGTACTAGTTCTTAATCAAAAGTGACAACAACCTGTCTTAATCTTTTACGGGTGGGTGAATGATATTCCCAAGTGCATATCGACGGTGGCACATGTGGGCCATATATCACATAACCGGTTTACAATATCAAATTCAATTCAGCCAGTGGCCTCAAATGTCAAGTCTATTTATGAACACGAACGTTGAAAACACACAAAATAAAAGGAAAGGGAAAAAAAACAGATCAGTATTGCAATGGTTAATTAAAGTTTACACAGAGAATCAACAATTTCGCAACATTTTTCTTATCAGTGTATGGGTCCATGAAGTGTTTCTTATTGGCGGACCCACTTAGCACTTAAGAAATACACTTTGAAATAAACAAAACTCAACAAGCATTCGAAATCATGCGAAATAGGCTTTACATATTCAAAGATTCACAAAAGTTGTTTACTTTTTTTTTTGTTTGACACCCAAAGTCTCTCAAGTAGAAATCAAAACTGATCCAGTGGACTATCCGAAGCGCCTCAATCCCGTAAAGTTGTGGTCATCCATGTACAATGACGTCAGTGGCATGCATAATAAACAGGCGGTACAATAATCAAATGCGAGTACAGGTCGTTGCAGAAATAAAAAGCCAGTTTACCGTTTGAAAGGCGAGCGGAGCACACGCCAGAGCGGCTCGAGTGGGCGGAGCCTTGAACGGAATCGGTAAGACTGCGTTTTCTCTCCATTCTTAAAAAGCAAACATCTGATTTCTGCGTGTGCGTGTGTTTGTTTGTACACAGTTTTGGCCATGTCGAGGCTTCAACTTTTTCTCTGCTTTTACCTTGCGACTCTCGTGACGTCACACGACATTGTAAGTTGCCTTGATGTGTGATTAGCTCTATGACAGGTTCATTGAAGTTCTGTCAAAATAATGAGACATGTTGTATTTTGTCTTTACAGAACGTGAAGTGTCAGGAAAATTATAGTATGTATTTTTTAATTTTTTCTTGTGTGTAGGCTTATACAGAGGGCAGAGGTGGCAAAAGTGCCTAGCTCTGTACTTCAGTAAAAGTACAAGTACATGTGAAAAAAAAGAGTACCGTTTAACTGAATGATGAAAGTTTAACTGTAAGTTACACTAAATTACCATTGTGATTATTCGTCACAGTGAAAAAAAAAGTTTCTGCCTTATTTTCTTAAAACCCCTTAGGCTGAGGGCAACTTTGCCAAAAACGCCTGAAAAAAGGTGCACCCAAAGTAAATTTGTAGCTGTTCTTGAACCATTTGGAGTATCAGCATGGTTCTGGTCTCTTTTTGAAGCAAACAGTCAGAATCTGTGTCAGTGCTCCTGTCACTGAACAATGGATGTTTGAAAACAGAAAAAAAAGGTGAATCTTATGTTCGTCTGATTTCTTTTCACAAAATCTGCCTTGAAAACGAATTTAGAATGTTAATTAGGACTTGAAAACACTACAGGTTCGAAGATTGAGGTCTCCCCAAGTTCCAGTTCAAATTTGACAATTGTAAAATGTTGGGCACCATTCAAAGCTCCAGAAACTCAGCTTTTAGAAGATGCATAACATGTTCACACATGTACTCAGCTGATGACGTGCAACAGCGATTTGTTTCAACAGATGATAAGATAAACCTTTATTTGTCCCACACTGGGGAAATTTTGGTGGGTCGCCCAACTTCAAAGGGTTAAAGTAGGCCATATGGAGGGAATATCTTGCTTGTCCAAATCTGTTTGTTATTCTCATCAGTGCACCATTAATATTTAACGTTCCGCCATGTAGTTGCTGTCCGTTTTTTTACACCCGAGAAAAGCCCAAGATCTCATGTTTTGTCAATCAATATTCTTAATATGTTGAAACGTTCTGACAAACACGACTGAAACATTTACGTCAGTGTACCAGATAAGAGCATTTCAGCATATCATATAAGATTTCAGTCATGAGAGATTTTGAATAGAATGTGGTCAAGCATTTCAGCATTTTGCGTGCAAGGATCTCAGTTTGCATGAGAGCTCTTCAGAAGTGCGTGAAAGGAAATCCTAAATGATGTCCCTGCCAGCCTCTCATGTGGGTGTGTGCCTTTGTTTGACTGTATCGAAAATATTTATGTAATGTCGACACTTTAAATACATTTTCTTTGGGTTAACTTTGATCATAATTATCTTCCAATGTTTTAATTAAATAACAACACACACACACACACACACACATACGCACACACATTGCAAACATTTTACATGGATGCAGCATGTTACATGACTTCAACAGTGTAATAACATTTTAATTAGGTAACAGTCACACCTTATCAACAGAGCTGCTTGGATTTTTTTTTTCTTCTGGTTATGTCAACTATTTGCACAGCCACATGTTGCTAGGCATTCTTATTCAGGTATTAGTCATAAGATTGGCCAAATAGGTCGATTACAAATTATCCAGTCACAATCCACTAGGTTGTTTGATATGGTTGCATAGCATAAGGACTGGTGTTGTGTTGAAAATAATAACAACAACTAAACAGGCAAACTTATGAAAGGAAGAAAGTAGAAGAACAAAAAGTATAGGAGCTGCTGTAAAGGCAGCCACTCTTGCGACGCCATCTTGAAGTCAAAATAATTTGTAGGCAGATGTAAAAATGTAAAAATGCACGCATCTAAAACTACGTCCTTTGAATGACATTTTGAAATACATCCTTTTACATTTTAAACCAGTCTAGTTTTGAGAATGTGTGACAGTTATTATTGAATGCATTAAAAAAATAATAATAATCTTTTTCTCCAGATTTGCCCCCTTCGAGTGACAACAGTCCATCTAAGCTAGCAGACTTGAAGTTTGAGCTGGTAAACGTGTCAGGAATAAAAATGGTAAATCTAAGCTGGGCAATCAACATTGATGGTAAGACTCACTGAGCTGCTTTTGGACTGAAAAATATTCCTTTAAAATGAGGGTTGAAGTCACTGGTAGCATGGTATGAAGGCTCGGGAATTGTGGCTCCATTTAAAGTGAAGTCTATACGTGAAGTTAAACTTCAACCCGCAATGACTCAGAATTCCTCCAAACTATATAAAATGGAGTTGTTTCAACCAATCACTTTGTGGAATTCTGATATATGGCTGTCATTTCTTGTCTCTGTGCAGCTAGCATAAAATATCTGATCGGCACACGCATTTCAGGGGAGTCGGTCTACCTCTGTGAATACTATCCACCTCTGGCCGAGTTTAACCTCACTGGGATACAGCAGGTATTACAGTAAGAGATTGATTCAAATTGTGGAATGTAAATGCTGCGATCAAATCCCAAAAGAACGAAACCATTTGAGAGCTATAATGCAGATTTGTACATTACAGCAAGCTGATTGTGTGAAAAAGTGTTTCAAAATTTGGCTGCTATGTTGTTGCTTATCTCTTCATGAGTTCCATTTTGAATTTCAGATGGGTTTGTAGATAAAATCCAATTATTTTCAATCAAGGCAAAAGTTACACATATCGGACATAAATGCAATACGATACAAGACAAGATAACAAAATGAAAACATCATAAGATTTGCTTACTTTTGGGCGAGTTTTGCCAATGAAAACAGGCAGAAGGATCTGACTTGAGACCAGCTCGGGGCAAGTCTAAGTTGTGGCGCAGGTGGTTGATTTGATCTTGGTCGATTTGATCAATACAATACAATATCTCTTTATTTATATAGCGCTTTCACAACAGCTGCAGTTGTAACAAAGCGCTTTACAAAAAAAGTTAAAATAAAATAACAAAATAATATAACACAATATATTACATAAAACACAGACAGTCATGCATATACCCACTTTTCCTGCATCGGCTTTGTTGTTTAAAGCAGTTTCAGATGAAAGAGGAGAGAATCCAAGTGTCCTTTCACCAGTGGATCAGAGACATCATGCTCAAAATATGCACACTTCGGCTACAAGCTAAGTTTGAAAGCAAACAAGTAGCTGTAGCGTCCATTGATGAAAAAAGAGATTGGTTCACTTCTCCTGTCCAATGTAAATCCTCTTTAAATCTAAGCGGCGACTCTCAATTCCAAATACGCATCCACGCTCAGCGCCGACGCTCCTCCATTCTCATCCTCGACTCCACAAGCCATCCATCCAACCGTACCAGCGCAGATTATCCAACAGTGCCGCCATCTCCGCTAAAAAAACGGGGCTGTGAAAAATGCTGCCCATTACAGGTGCAAAAAAACAAGCTCAAGGTGCAGGAAGACAGATTCTGAACTCCACAGACGTGTGCTGGATGTCATCATTCATAAAGATGACAATTGCATGCATCTAACCCTTTGAATCATTTTAGAAATCAAATAAATGAATGCATCATTATTATGATCATATTTGTTATATTTTTTTTAAAACGACATTCCTAGTGGAAGGCAATCGCTACCTGAACACTTCAAAAGCAGTGATCTGTGATCGCCTTGGCCAACTTTACATCACCTAGGCACGGAGGTCTTTTTGAAGTTCCTTAAAAACGCACTTTGCGTGCTTCAATTTTCTGCATCGACTATAGCGTATCAACGGTATTTCTGCTTCCGCAATGTCGAAGACTGTGTGACCCTACCCCTGTGCTAAATTTAAAGGTAATTAGAAGCCAGGAAGCAGGTTGGCTATGCTCACTCCCACAATGGCCAAACAACCCTTTTCGAACTGTACTTATATATGAAAATACCAAAGAAAGACCACCCGCACGCACAGTTTGACTGCACTTTGTGATAGACTTGAGCATGAAAATAGGCCTCCTAATCTGTTTGGTCAATAGCACTGTTTGTTTGGTGTATTTAAGCAAGGATTGCTTGTAAAATAGATGTGGAAGTTACAGTGTCAGCGTCTTTTCTGTCTGTCAAATTCAGAAATGGTTTCATTACTTACTGCATAGTAGCTACGGCGCCACGGTCGAGGTGGCCAACCTTCCATTGCCACCACTGGGGAGCGGCCCTTCTTCTAAGTTTGCAAAATTCATCACTACTCCACCCACATACAGTAAGTACACTTTAATTAAAAAAATTCCTCAATCTGCTACAAAACTGTAGCACTTGTTTTTGTGACAGCAGACGAGTGGCGTGTCAAGCACATCGGTGAAGGGCGAGTCATGATGCCCCTGAAAATGAATTTGACAAGATACAAAGAAGAGACAAAAACACACAAGACAGAGATATGGCACTGTCCTGCAAGTGCTGGTGCGGCACTCATTATCATAAAAAGACAGAATGAGTCAGCATACAACTACGCCCCGAAAAATATTGATATGTGCGTTCATTGTTTGAATTTGAATTGAATACAACTTTATTGTCAAATGTGCTGTACGTATGTGTCACACACACACAAAAAATAAATTTAATCGGGAAATGGATTTCACCGAAATGAAGTGAATCATTCCATTCTAAAATTTGTGGACCTTGAATGGCATTGCACCTTTACAAGAGATGGTTAAAAATCGGCCTAAATTGTTTTTCTCAAACAAAAGTAGAAAAAAATGATGGAATTTCATTTGTTTGTCCATCTTTATGCTGGTTAGCAAGCTACTCTCTGAATCATGGAGGATCACATTTAGATGGGACTCAGGCCAGTTGCATTCGAGTGCAGGAGGTACACTTCCATTGTGGGGAAACCATTTTTTTTTTGCACATTTTTGTCCACATTTTCATACACCTCCTCAACGTTTAATATAAAATGAATTGTGCACTTTTGCATACACCCAGGACAAACAACCAAACAGCAAGACATTATTTGGCCTCCGAAATGAAGGGCAAAGTAAGAAGGCATGGTAGCCAATAAACAGTTTGAGGTTAGTAGGTTTACTGGTGGCAGGGACATTCATTGATGCGGATGGGTCAAGATATATATATATATATATATATATATATATATATATATTTTGGCCTGTCTTTGTGGTAAACACAGCACAAATATTTGTTTCAGCAATTGCAATTCATCATTCCTTTTTTTATTTTTCCAGGTCTCTGGAAGCCGACTGATTCTCCTACAGGTGAGGAATCTTTAAACCATGTGTGCATTACGATAATCGTAATCATAATGACGGCCATGAACTAATGGGAAATACATTTCTCGACAGCTGAGATCACAACAGAGAACCCCACTGCAGGTATGACAAATAAACGCTATGCAATAGCAAAATCTAAAACAAGATAATTATGGATATGAACAGCAGCTTTAATTTTGAAAATATATTTTAATGTACATTATTTCTGAATGACTATATTAAAGTGCTTTTGCGTTTGTTTCACTGGTGCAGAACCTAAAAACAATTTCACCAGCATATCGTTGAAACTTTATCTCGGACTGGCTGTTTTGATTATCCTAACGTCTGGATACATTATCTGTAAGTTGAATTTCTCAAAACATACATTTAAAAGCAATGTCCTGATCTAGAATATAATGTACACACCACCGCACAAAATATTACACATTTTTACAATGTGATTGCTTACTTATTTTGATATAGATAAACGGTATGGGACAAACCTGGCCATATCAACGGGCTTTAAAAGGTTACCGACATCAACCCAAGTTCCCATCCACGTGCTTTTGGTGTACCCCCCTGAGAATGGAGCCTTCCAGAAGGCTGTGATGGCCTTGGCAGAATTCCTGCAGAAGCACGCATGCTGCAGTGTTGCCATCGACGTATGGCAGCAGAGCAGAATTGCACACGATGGTCCCATGCGCTGGTTGGCGGAGCAAGTCAAAGCTGCACAGCGCGTCCTCATCGTCTGCCCACCGGTAAGATGTAAAATTTATGTTTAGGGTGACTAGAGTATGGCAGAATTCCTGCCATACTCTAGATGCAATGATGCAAGTGAACCCCTGTTTCTGACCAATGTTCCATCTACTCTGCCATTCTGTAATGTACTTTACATTTACCGGTACTTTATTTTATTTATAATTTTTTTTCCATTTGTGCACATTTTTGAACCCATAACCTCTGAACTGTGAGGCAGATGTGGTAACCAGTTGTCCAGTGTGTTGCCTTTGGTCGCACAGTAATTACAGTCACCCCGTGGCAGTGCCTATACATTTCATATGCATTATCCATTTCATGATTATTGAGCCATGATGGCAAATATGGTGGAGGCCACCAAATGTCTAATTCTTTCACCTGCAATAATTGAATGATCTGACATAATTTATACTTTCATTACAGTCAAGCCGGCCTCCTCCCATCTGCATCTCCACCTCCAGGGGGATGACCTCTATACCAGCTGCAGCTCACGATCTTTACCCCTTGATCCTCAACATGGTGGCGAGCCACGCTAAGAGTGCTCACGAGCTCGCTAAATTCTGGGTGCTGCAACTAGGCGGTCAGCAAGGGAAGAGGCCTGGTGACGTGGCTCCAGAACTGAGTGCATGCAAGCTCTTTTGTTTACTGAAAGATCTGAACAAACTGTGTCGCAGTCTGCACACTCAAAAGCAAGATAGTAAAATGAGATGGACTCTTGTCTTTGGACCTGGAGTAATAGATGAGAGTATGGTGAAATTAAGGGACTCTGTTGAAAAGCTTAGTGGACATTGTTTATTGATTCCCACAGAGGCAGTGCCGGTCAATTGTGAAATCACCTCCGTTTGAAGAAATTTAATGAAATGTATGGATTAATATTAAGAATCCACGTGATGAACCTGTATAGAATCATCCATCCAATACCTGCAAACGAGTCGCCGGCATGCTGGAACGCATCGCAGCTGTCTTTGGACAGAAGGCGGGATACACTCTGAACTGACACATTCGACACATACTAGCACACATAAACACATTCACAGCCCTGTACAATTTAGAGTGTTCAATGAACCTACCATGCATGTTTTTGGGATTTGCAGCTTGCAATATGTGTCTACCAGTAGCAGACATAAATAATAAAAAGGCATCACATGCCAGAAGCGATACTATAAAGTACTGTGCAGTAAGAACCATGTCTAGAGTAAATTTTGAAATATTCCACAAACAGGATTAAAAAAAATCCCATGATATCGTGTTATACGAGAAATACGCCTTCATGTTTGTATTATTGTTTTTCAAATAAAGTTTGTTGAAACTGTCTTATTTCCGGGAGGAGGGACTCATTTTGTACCACGTGACCAAACACGGAAGTAATGCCTTGCGCTGTGAGGTCGCACTTTCAGTGAAGTGTTTTGATCCAAACATTTTTTTGTTCCTTTTTCATTTATAACGTTTGAGCCAAGTTAATAGACCGAGTTAGACTGGAACTATGACCCAAGCAGAGAAAGAACAAGATAATGGAAAGGAAAAAGAAAAAGAGCGCGACAAAGAGAAGGAGAGGGAACAGCGAGGAGTGAAAAGACCCATTGCTCCACCAACCATCCCGGAGCCCCTCCAGGAGGTGAGTTTGCGAATCCCCTTTTCGTAGTGCTGTGCCATTTAGACAATTTTATACCCCGGTATATGTAATATGATGACGAGCTTTTCATTTTAATTTTCTTCCAGCCATTTCAGAGCATTTAGAAATTTTCAAGACCTACAGGATACTGTAGTCATGATATACACATCAATTACCAAATGAAAGAATAGATTCTCTCCTTTGACTTCGGCTCGCCTTTTTCCGTTCCGTTATTATTAGTTGTAGACAAAAAGGTAGGTTGCAAAAAATGCTCTCAGTGGAGTCACAAACTGCTGATCTCATATATAAAATGGGACATCGATGTCATTTACTGGTCGGTGCGCATCACTAAAGTTGTTCCCAAGTTTGAAATTTCCCGCGAAGTTGCACCAGGCCTCTCTCAATGAATCATTGATTCTCAAAATAGCTGCTGATGAATTTGATAATCGATTAGTTACAGATTAATCAATTAATTATTGTATCTCGAACGTCTATTTTACAGCAAATACAGAGCAACTTTGTCATCGTCATCCATCCTGGATCAAGGACGCTACGCATTGGCCGAGCGACAGACAACCTTCCGCTCACGATCCCGCACGTGATAGCACGCCGACACAAGCAAAGTAGCCAGCCCAGATATGAAGATGCCTGGTTGCTCAGGGATGGTCTAAATGTGCGGCAGGTGTATGTAACCTGTAAAAATTGGATTTGTTGTTCTCACTGACCTCATTGCATCCTTCCTCATGCTCTCTGCCAGAAACCTGAAAGCAATGAACAGAGGCAGAACGGCCTTAAAATGGTTGACCAGGCCATTTGGTCCAAAAAGATGTCCAATGGAGTGAGGAGGACGCCAGTGTCTGCTGAGCAGGTGTGTGTGTGTGTGTGTGTGTGTGTGTGTGTGTGTGTGTGTGTGTGTGTATAAGTGAGAGATATATATCTGGACCAGGAAACCCAACTTTAAGACCACCAACAAAAAGTATGATCACATTATGGTGGTTGACGGAGCAGTTTAATAACGTTTGAACTCTTGTACCCACTGAGTAATTGTTGTGTACTGTTGTGTATAAAATCTATCTTCTCTCAAAAAGCTTGTTTTCTGTTCTTTTTTCTTTGGTCTAAAATAGGTGATTTGAGCGAAACCAATCCATGTTTTACCGCTGATTACTAAAATAATTTCTCTTTTTTTGAGAATGGCTGGAATTGAAAGTTCATAATGGAAAGAGTATGGATGAATGCCAGAAATGACAAGTCAGCCTACTGATAAATGACATGAACATCACATCAGTCATGCTTTAGAAACAACGCAGGGGTACAGCGGAAAATCTTGACATGCGTCTCCTGTCTTTATTTAGGCAAGAGCATACAACTGTCAGATCCGTCCAGCTGTGCTAGACAGCAGCTCCAGGGTAAAGTGGACCAACACATCTCACCATCCCCCTTATTTGATAGGAGACGAGGTAAGTGCCAAGAGTCTACGTGAAAATGAAGATGTTCAACATCAGTCATTGTCTCCGCCTCTTCCCGCCATCACAAAATGCAGGCCCTGTATGTAAAACCAACCGACTGCTACAACATCCACTGGCCTATAGTTCGAGGACAACTCAACGTGCACGTCGGTCCCGGAGGCTCGCTCACTGCTGTCCTGGCTGACCTCGAGACCATCTGGAGTCACGTCATTCAAAAGAACTTGGAGATCCCGCTCAAAGACCTAAAAGTGGGGAATGATATCATAATTTGTATTTTCTTTTTCAGTTATATATTATGTAGAAAAAAGTCTTGGGACGCAAGTGTTATGCTAGGTTCAGACTGAACACAAAATATCACATCGGCCTTCATGTATGGCTTACGCTTGTTTAGGGGGGGGTGCTTCAAACGGAGAAGGGGAGGGGTTTCTCCTCTGACAGAAAAAAAAGTTTAAAACATCGCTTGTAAATCTGGTGACCGGTGGTTGTGTACTTTGGCAGCTATTCCTTGGGTGACAGTTCAACCGCTGTAAAAACGTCAATACGGTCACCAGTCGCCAAATTCATTGCTCATTCACATTTTTCCAAATTTTCATGATATTGCCGATAAATGAGACGACATATAGATCAGAAGTTTGTCGGCAACAAAAAATATTCAGTTTTTAAAAAAATCTGCAAATGTACTGCCTGAAAAAAAAATACAAATTTTAAAATACAAATTTTAGGGGCCCCAATTTTCCTCCATTTAAGGCAGTGTAGAGCCTTGGGATGGATCCTCAAATTTTGATTTATCAGGTTTACGAGGCATTTTGGGGAACTGGACGGTCAGAACCATTTGGTCATGATCATTTTGCATTGTCAAATAATTGTGCCCCAATGCAAGAATAGTTCATGCTTGGATGAGATTGAGGCTGACAATCAAAACACCTTTGGAATGACCCACCGCAGAACAGATGACTCAGCAGGGCCTCTCAGCTAAATCAGAGACACACACACACACACACAGACACACACGCGCAGACAAATGCTGCAGGCGAACCAATTTTTTTTTCCTCTTTTTCATTTGCTGTTGGTGGAGTGCCGCAATACTTTTCTCCTAGTGTATTTAATGAGGGCAACAGTTTACCACCCTCAAATCAGAAATCTAAACATTTGACACATTTTTCTTGAGAAAATCATGTCTTTACGTCACATGATGTTTTGTGACTGTTGCCAGTATTAAGAGACATGTAGATCAGAAGTTTGTCGGCAACGAAAAATATTCACTTTTTTAAAAAATCTGCAAATGTACTGCCTGAAAAAAAATACAAATTTTAAAATGCAGATTTAGGGGCCCCAATTTTCCTCCATTGAAGGCAGTGTAAAGTCCTGGGATGGATCCTCAAATTTTGATTTAGCAGGTTTACGAGGCATTTTGGGCAACTGGACGGTCAGAACCATTTGGTCATGATCATTTTGCATTGTCAAATAATTGTGCCCCAATGCAAGAATAGTTCATGCTTGGATGAGTTTGAGGCTGACAATCAAAACACCTTTGGAATGAACCACCGCAGAAAAGATGACTCAGCAGGGCCTCTCAGCCAAATCAGTGACACACACACACACACACACACACACACGCACACACGCACAAACACACACGCAGGCAAATGCTGCAGGCAAACCAATTTTTTTTCCTCTTTTTCATTTGCTGTTGGTGGAGTGCCGCAATACTTTTCTCCTAGTGTATTTAATGAGGGCAACAGTTTACCACCCTCAAATCAGAAATCTAAACATTTGACACATTTTTCTTGAGAAAATCATGTCTTTACGTCACATGATGTTTTGTGACTGTTGCCAGTATTACAGATGCATCCTTTTGGTTCCTGACATCTACAACAGACAGCATGCCAAGGAACTGGTCTCCATGCTACTGGTTAATATGGGCTTTTCAGGTATTTCACTTGTCATACTTTCAGGTCAGCCTTTGTTTCACAAAACCGTACAATCGCCTAATTTCTCTCCCCCCCCCAATGTGTATTTATGTGTACAGCAATTATAGTGCACCAGGAATCAGTGTGTGCCACATTTGGGAGCGGGTTAAGCAGCGCTTGTGTCGTAGACGTCGGAGACCAGAAGACCAGTCTGTGCTGTGTAGAGGACGGGGTTTCCCATCGGAACTCCAGGTGTTGAGAAAATTTGTACTTCAGGAATTTGATTGCGCCAACGTTTGTATTGACATGTTGAAAGTGTGTCATCACTGCACCTCGAAGTCATGGAGGCACAACTGCACGTCACTGCTTCCCAGCAGTAAAAAAACAGCTTTGGCTACACTCGTGAGTCCCAGCCACCAGCTGTGGGAAATACTGTTACATTTAATTGGTCTGAAAATGTTTATTTATTGACTTCACATAACATATCTTTGTTCATCTATATTGGACAGCAAAGTATAGCGACAGGCAGATCAATTCATTCACTCCCAAAGACATATTTCTGTCTTTTCAGACTCCACACATTCAATCCCAGGTACTCAGTAACCGCTGTCCCTGAAAGGGTTTAATGTAGGTTGGGAAGCTCATAGAGTCAGAAGACTCAAAAGTTACTTTCTTTTGTTGGCTGGGCATTAATCTAATCTCTTGACAAGGCTCTGTTGTATTTTTTCACGGAATAATATGTAATCATGGGAAACGCGTTTTGTATTTCTGTTTTCTAAATTCCAGTATGTCTTTTTTTTTTTCCAATTTCCAGATCATTCATACTTGCTAATGCAAATTATTATTTTTTTAAACCCTTCACAGGTTGTCTTTGGCATACGGTGGCGCAGACGTGACCCGCATTTTTTTCTGGCTCCTGCAGAGGGCCGGATTTCCGTACAGAGACTGTCAGTTGTCCAACAGATTGGACTGTCAGCTCCTGCAACATATAAAGGAGACACTCTGCCATCTGGACCAGGTGTGTGGTTCAAAAATTACGTGTTTACCGTATTGGCCCGACTATAAGACGTGTTTTTTGCATTGAAATAAGACTGAAAAAGTGGGGGTCGTCTTATATTCGGGGTCTAGACGTTATACCGATTCACGACGCTAGATGGCGCCAGATATCATTGAAGTGAATGCTGAACTTGACTCCCCAGGCCGAAGCGAACCCCTGTCACGAAGAATAAAAATAAAAATAGCGGTAGCATGAAGAAGAAAAATAAAAAAATAGCGGTAATAAAGAAAAGAGAAGAAAATAATAGAAGAGATAACAGAAAAAGGAGAAATGTAGCGACAATCTGGATAAAAGTGGGTCGAAGATCAGCCAGGTTAACCGGCAGCTGAGGAGAAGTTATGATGTCATTTACATTTCAAAAAGCAGAAGCCATTCATTTACCAATGTGATTGCACTTTAGTTTACGTATTTAAATGTTCAGATGTTAAGATTTGAATGAGGCAAAATGACATGCTTTTTCTCTCAAATGTATTGTTATAATCATTTGTTTGAGATGTAGTCATTATTTTCTGTATAAAAATTAATTTGGTGTTCAAAAAGTCTTTTTTCAAACTTGAGTCTTGAAAAAGAGGGGGTCGTCTTGTAATCAGGGCCGTCTTATATTCGGGCCAATACGGTATATTGTTGAATTGCGTACACACACTGTTTAAGATGTTCTCAGCTTTATAACATGCAATATAAAATCATGTTTGATGCACTCGCTTTTTGATTATTAAAAGAAATACAGTTCTAAGACAATGGAGGTCGCCATTGTTGTTTACATTGCAGTGTTTGTCTATCTTCTTGTATGCAAATCAATTAAAAATATTTTTCCTGGTTCCCTTGAGGACATAACTGGATTACAAGATCATGAATTCCAAACACGTTTCCCAGATGCCCCAGCTTTTCTCTTCCAGGTTCGCTTAGGGGATGAGAAATTACAGGTAGCTCAAATTATTCCGAGTCCATTTTGTGTTGGCTTCCACATTTCTAGACTGATTTATTTGTTGCCTTGCATAAAATAGGCCCCCATGGCACTGTTCTACCCCAGCACGTTTGGTATCGTCGGCCAGAAGATGACATCGTTGCAGTACCGTTCTCAAGGCGACTCCGAGGACCCTCATGATGAACTCTATTTACTGGCCACACACAGCAAACAAGACCAGGTAAAGACGGAGACACTTGTTAATCATTTAATCAATCAGTAAGCAGTTGGACTCGATCACTTAAGTGGGCCCTGAATATTTATTCTTCATTTTACCAAGAGTTGTTGGATAACTGATTCCAACTGATAGCATCTTACTTTTTGAACACCTTTGGGTTGCGCTACAACAAAGGCAGTGAAAGCGGAAGAAGAAAATGACAAGCTGTGTGAAGATTTATGCTGCAATAGTCAAGAAATGTGGGAAAATGCTCATTGTTAGGATTTAGAAAACCGGGGATCAAAAACTAAGCTTTAGCTCAATTTCAAAATGTACTCACTACATTTTCTGACTCATTACTACAATTCTTATTGCTATCAGAAATGCAGTACACTGGTACCTCTACTTACGAAATTTGTTGGTTCTGGAATAAATTTCTTAAGTAGAAAATTTTGTAAGTAAAGACGCATTTTCCATGTAAATGCCCTAATCTGTTCCAAGCCCCCCCCCCCCAAAAAATTCAGACATAAATGTTTTCTAAAGCATAAAAATGCATCAAAATATGTAACAAATACATGTTACAAACTGATTATTGCACAATAAATGATAGTTGCGCGTAATGTAAAAAACAAGAGAGTAAAGAATAAAAATGATGGTCATTTAACTTTTAACTGGGTCCTCATTGTTTTTTGCCCTTTTTAGTTTATGTTGTCTCTCAGAAGTGTTTTTTTGTAAAGAACTGATCCAAGGACGTTCGCTTTTGTCTGCTTTTAACAATCCTTCGAAAATGTCCAAGGCAAACATCAGCATCGTGAGCGATCGCCCGACCGGTGAACACTTTTTCTGGGTAATTCACACTTGCGTAAAAGTATCGGAACGCCTCATGGCCCGAGTGGCGAATGATGAGGACGCTGCATAGACACATATCTATCTATTGATACACATTGACACATACGGTAGAGGTCCCTCTTAGTCAATGGGATGCCAGGAAGATGCTTGGTAACAGCCAATGGCAGAGCAGCCTTAAGTATGTTGCGTTCAGGAATCTCGGAGGTGCGAGTAGCAGACCATACTGTATTTTTACTTTCGTATCTTGAAATTGCTTTTGTAACGAGGCAATATTTTCCTATTGAGGCGTTTCGTATCTTGAAAATCTCATATGAAGAGACTTTCATAAGTAGAGGTACCCACTACTGTATATATTGCTAGTTACAGTAAATGTCATTTCTACAGTTCCTCATCCTTTTTTCTTATCATTTTTCCAACAGTCCTCCAAGTCTGCTTCAGACCGCAAGGCGCTCTCAAGACAAGGCGGAGCTTTGGACGGTGATGCGAGTGGTCAAGGGGGCATCGGGGAAATGTCAGAACTTCCCAGGGGGAGCGGCGGCAGTGGAGCAATGCAGGGCGAGACGGATATCGGCGCCGCCCAGGGGGAGTGCCTGATGGGAGTGGGGGAGGCGGAGGATCCCCTCTCGACACATCTCTCCAGGAAGACTGCAATCATGAACCAGTTTGAGGGCAAAGCGCTTGGCCTGGATAAGGCCATCCTGCATAGCATTGACTGCTGTGGTAATAAAAACACTGGATGGACAAAGTATTAATACAGAGGGGTTTTTTTTCAAAGTCAAGAGCTGTCTCGTTGTCTTTTGAAAGCCTCGGACGAGACCAAGCGAAAGATGTACAGCTCCATCCTGGTGGTGGGAGGAGGGCTCATGTTTCATGGCGCTCAGGAGTTCCTGCTTCACCGCATCATTAACAAGATGCCACCATCCTTCAGAAGGCTTGTGGACAGCGTGGAGGTTATCACGAGGCCAAAGGTAAAAAGTGGCTCCTCAGTCATCATGGGGAATATGTAAAGTTTAGTAGTTTCACAAAAAGAATTCAATTTTTGTGCACATTCTGTGAATGCTGAAACGCTATTCAAAGCTTAGTTTGTTGACATGCTGTAGGACATGGACCCCCGACTGATATCATGGAAGGGGGGAGCGGTGCTGGCCTGTCTGGACACAACCCAAGAAATGTGGATCCACCAGAGAGAGTGGCAGCGCTTTGGTGTTCGGATGTTACGTGAGCGGGCTGCTTTTGTGTGGTGAAAACACACAAGTTTACAAAAAACGACTTTGGTGAGAATCTTAAGGAAAAGACAAAAAAAACCCCAAAAAAAAACATTTCTAATGAAATGTAAGTATGAAAGCTCGAACTCTGCTGTACACTTCCAGTCATTCAATAGCGCTACAATGTGCACCCTGTTAAATAATGGGGGGTGGGGGGATTTTGACTGAAAAAGTGGCAAAAACTGTACAGTGAGTAGTCGACACAATTGGAAAATGAATACGGTTCTTGCTTTTATATTGAGCAATAATTGCTGAAAGTGAGGGGATTGATCAATAACTGCAACCTGTTGGAAAAAAACGATGATGGGTTCTTTTTGAATTTTAAGTTGAATGCCCTTGATTTTCCACAGAACTCTCCCACAAAGTTAAAGTATCGCGCATGGGTCACCAACTTTTTTGTTTAACATTTTCAAAAGATCACTGACACAACAATCCTAGAAAATCAATCTCTCATCACTGGTGAGCATTTTTTTTTCTTTTTTAAAAGTGAGATACTAATATGGTCCTTGGGGGCTAGTTGGGTGTCCGTGGGCACCACATTGGTGACCCCCCTGGTGTAGAGCATTTTTACACTTCTAGTATTGAGAATTGTATAGTATTGAATGGGAAAGAGGAGTGATGATGTCATTAAAGCTTTGGTATTTATGGCATGATCATTTCCAAGTCAACTTGAGTTCATGACATATTTTCAATTCTAAATCTCGGCCATTGCACACTACAATACCGAAAAAAATATTTTGGAATAGATTAAATAACTAGACGAATTCAACTGTTTAGTTACATTTACTTACAACCTAATTTTTTTACATACCGACTACAGTAACTTCTTAGTTGACTCAACTGCATAGCGTAGCTAATTCTCAAATAAATCCGAATGAAAATATGACAATAGTACAATAACCTGTCGTTTGGATCAATCACACTTATTCAATTTTTTTTTTCAATAATATTTTAATGAAGTGAAGTATCGTATTTAATATCTAACATCATGTCATTAACATTAACTTGTCAATGGAGGGCAAAAAAAAAAAAAAATAAGCAAATTGTATTCCAAGACAAAAAAATAAAAATAAAGCAGATGTACTTGTGCGATCTACGAGCTGCCAGATCAGCCAACCTGGTTCCGATAAGTAGGAATTCCCAAAAAGGCGTCAAAAAGCTGCTGAGGCAGCGGCAACTCAAGAAGTGGGGCTTCACTACTGTGACCACCCGTCTATACAGTAGCTGGGCCCACGCCTACACACACCGTGTAGGCGTTTACCTGCAGAAAAGAATGCAAGGTCAATCCAACATCGATGGATCATTACATAGCCATATGATTTAAGAATTGAAAAATATGCACATGCACAGTCTAGTAAGAGCCAATACAAGAGCTGTCTCACAAATTGTACCCTTACAAAACTCATGCTTGATTCGTCTGGAGTAGTAATGAGTAATTTGCTTGTAAACTGTACTGCATCATACCGAAACTGTTTCCAATACTGCACCCTCTGTCAGTAAATATTACATAAAAACAAAAACAAAAAAACAACTGCAATAATAAATAATGTGAAATTAAAACCTCTGTGACAGAGTCAATCAAAACTGAACATTATGGGCTATGTCAAGATATTCATTCTTAAATATATACACTTCATGTTGTGGCCAATGTGTTGGTGCATGTGAAACCTCACCTTCCTCATCCTCCTCCCCCCATTGGAGGAGGACTGGGCCCGCCACCAAAGTTTATTCTGCCCATCCGTCTTCGGCCACCAGGGGGACCCGGAGGACTACATGAGAGAAAACAATGTAAAATGAGGCTTCACATTTTCGATTTTCGAACCATATCGATGTCCTTGCTGCTCACTACAATATGGGTGAAGCAATACGATGAAATAGTAAAATATAGTCTCTCATAGGTTTTAGCCAAGCAAGTCCTAAGATTTGGTGACTTCAGTCTGACTCGAGTCAAGTCACGTGACTTGAGTCCCCAAACGGACTGGAATTTTGTTGAATGTTAAATTAGTTAATTTATGGTACAACAAGGATCCCGTTTGTGCTGCTGGCACGTATTTTATTTTTTTTAGCTGTTAAAAAATTCCACCAAAAGCAGAACTGAAAGTATACAGGGATATACTGTAATGACAATAATAATGATAATTATGAAGCTTACATACCCTCTGCCATCAGAAAACCGTGACGAACCACTACGTCCATCTTTCGTCAGGTCAGGGTGAATTATTGTTTTAAAACTGATGGGGGGAAAAAAAGTGCATGTCAACAATTTTATATTGCAACTTAAGCATATGTACAATTTGTAAATTGTATTAGTCTATGAGTTGCAAATGCAACTTTTACTCTTTCTTCCTTTTACACATGAGCATAGGTGGTTTTACAGGGTGGCAAGGAGTGGCAGGCTGACACACTTACCAAATGCCTTGAGCTTCAGTGGCCAACCCTCAATGCCAATGAATCTATCAATACGTTAAAAATGTAATAAAACTTTCTTTATATTTTCTCCGTAGTGTGGATAAAAAGTGTGTTAAAATGTAATTAGTTATACACTTATAAACTGACTTACAAAAGGCCAAAAAACTCCACAGCTCCCCAGAACAGGTCGACCAGTAAAGACAGTCGCCATGGTGACTGGCTCCTGCTGTCCAGAACTTGACCTGACAAAGACAGGGTCCAGATGATGATTGTGTTAATAAAGAATGGACATCCTTACAGGATGTCGCTTCGGTCTGAACAAACAGGCACTTGACGGCAATGTGGAGTTATTGCATTAAGGTCTTGCGAATCTTCCAAAAACTCTAGATTAAAAATATTGGAACTAATGTAGAAGATGTTACTTGTTAATATTCCAACTGAATACAATGCATTTTTGCCAGTGTGCAGACTTATAATAAAACCAATGTCACCATTCCAACGACGCTTGAATGAGGCGACTCAAAACATGGCCAGAAAACGACCAACACAAGACCTCCAGTGAGCATACACTGGCTGTTAAAGTAACGCTATACGTATGCATGACTGAGAAAGCAAAGCAATAGTGTTTGTTGTTTTTGTTGTGCCGTAGGGGCAAGTTAGCAAACGAGGTAGGTTGCGCCGATAAATATCAACTGCCAAACTTCCTATTCGCCTCATACAGTTAAGACGTGGTGTAATTTAACATTAAAACATTTTCGATAAATTCTTAATGCATACTGTGTGATCGAGACATGTTTATGGTGTATAATCTCGCCAGAAGGTACCAGAAATCCACTCACCGTTCGACACGTACACCATCTTTAGGAAATAACAACATACCACGCACTTACGTAGACGACGTGTGTGACGTTTGCTTCCGGGTTCATAGGTGACGTAATTCCCAGACAAATAATTAAACTACTTTAATTCTGTCTACCAAATAAATGCAGTCAACCAAATAAATGCAATCAGCACTGTTCTGTGTTGTTTTATCGCCAGTCCTGGTTTTGGGGATTTGAACCCAAGCTAAATATGGCATTGGATTTATAGAGGAGGGGCAACGTGTAAGGGCAGGATAAGCAATTCTTCATTGGAATCTCGGAAAATCAAATTGTGCACCGATGACGACTAAACTGTGTTACGTAAAAATGTTGAGTTGCGGTACCGTACGTAGCCCTTTATTGAACCTTACATCGTGACGTGTGGCAATGGCTAAGCTTTTTGTTTTTTTCTCAGTGGCACCACAGCAAACTTCCATGTCATTTGACCAAGAAAGACAGTGATTTATTTCTTTTTTTTTTATTTAAGCCAAAACCTAGGGCGATTTTATGAATTAGAAAATACTATCCCCACCATATGTATGTCAGAATATTTTCTTAAGGTGGACAAAGTGATCGCCTGATTTTTTTCCCCCCCTGGCAAAGAGTAGCGTCAAGTTTTACATAAGCTATACTGTACATACAAGTTCATCACAAGTCATGGTGTTTTTCTCAATGGCACCACAGCAAACTTCCATGTCATTTGACCAAGAAAGACAGTGATTTTTTTTTTACTTTTTTATTTAAGCCAAAACCTAGGACGATTTTATGAATTCGAAAATACTATCCCCACCATATGTATGTCAGAATATTTTCTTAAGGTGGACAAAGTGATCGCCTGATTTTTTTCCCCCCCTGGCAAAGAGTAGCGTCAAGTTTTACATAAGCTATACTGTACATACAAGTTCATCACAAGTCATGGTGTGGGGTGCAAGGCTGAGCAAATCTATCCACGGCCATGTGAGAGTCTTGCATGGACATGTAATGAAAGGCAGATAATATACATTCCATTTTACAGCTAACAAAAACACGATTGAAATTGGTCCTCTCACGTATTTCAATTCATTTCATGAATTATTTTCCCCAAATCAAAAAGTGTAACTAATATATTTGAAGACTGTATTGCCTACAGTTACAAGCAAGAAAGCAACAGCTCACTGACACTAATGAGCAAATAGGGGCTCAGAGTCTTTAGTGCAAGGGTACCGACAGTCATGGTTTGGTGCCAAATATGGCTTTTGGGGTATACATCTCCCACAAACATCCATTAAAACCCTTCAGAATGATTGCATTTAGAAACAGGATCAGCTCTAGTGACTGGTGCTAATTCATTTTTACCGGGTGCCGTTTCGTAACCAGCATTCTTCCAGATATGCAACACGGGAGCACTATGTAGCAAAATAAGCCCTTTATTGCAACATTTTAAAACATTACAAAAATACCACAAAGACATACATAACCTTAAATGAAACTGGAGACTTTCACAATATTTGACCCCACAATCTACACACTTAACAGTAATTGTTTGACAGCATTTTCCCTGTAAGGTATCTTTCCATTTAGCCAAGCTGGTGTTAAGTGTAAACATAAAACCCAAAACAAAATGGTAAAACATTTACTCATGTCCCAAGAAAGTTTGTGTGCTCTGTAACACCGGAGCGTCATTGATGAAACCTTGCATGAAGTTATACGTCAGAGCCAAAAGTGGACTCAGTGGCTCGCTTTCAACAATTACAAAGAGCATGAGGGCAATTACAACAAACACCACAAACTGGATCTGGATAGGGACCATTCGGCGCTCCATTTCTCTTCTCTCCAGAGTGGTGGGGCTTAATGGAGGGCGTGAGGAATGAAACTCTACGGGCCTCCCGGCTGCACCCTTGATGGGCCTCCGGCAGGTGGCGCTATAACAAAAAGGAATGAGAGTGTGAGGAAGTTCTCCCCCACCAAAAATAGCCGTTCAAAATGTTTAAACGCTTGTAGAGTGGTCAACTTTAAAAATAAATAAATAAATAAAAAAAAGGACTTGGGATAGGAAGATCACAAGTTTGAACACAATGGGGCTTTACAGTTAAACTTTTCAAATTTTTGATTTGCTCTTATGCCGATTAAATTAAGCTTTGCTTTCAAAAGTCTTTGTGAAGGCTGCAATGTCCATTTGTGTCACTTAGAACACAGGTGTCAAACTCAAGGCCTGGGGGCCGGATCTGGTCCGCCACATCATTCTATGTGGCCCGCCGAAGCAATTGATGTGCATCTAACGTCATGTTTCTTGCTAAATGCCAACAATGCAAATGGTCTTCACTTTTAAAAATGTTGAGATATTGCTTCCAATCCCTCTTAAAATAAATGTCACATTTTAAAAGTAATTTAACATTATTACTGGTCCCCGATTTCAAAACTAGTCTTTCATTGATTTTTTTTGTGCATTTGTAATCTGAGACAACCATACATTTATTTGACTTCACACTGTGAACTTCAGTCATAATGGCCCTCCGAAGGAAACCCTAACTACAATGTGGCCCGCGACAAAAATGAGTTTGACACCCCGGATTTAGAACTTACCTAATCATTGTGCTTGCAGGCTTAATGTTAGGAATCAAGTCATCTTTCATGGGGTCCTGTGGAAGCAAGATCTAATTACCAACAAAAATAAGTTGCGCTGGAGGCACTTTTAAAAGGAAGGCCCAGAAGCAGCCAGAAAAGACAAGAAATAAGATTTATGCATGATAAACCTGAACCAACAGTGTGTTGTCAGACAACAGCATGCTATAGAAGCCTGCAAATAGGATGGATGCACCTTCGTTTCCCAGTTAGAATGGGACTCTTTGGGAGTGAAGTACAGAGACTGCCTCGTGTCCGTCACAAGCACGTCGAACTAAATGAAAAAAAAAATGTAAACAAGACTCAGTTTTCCACTTCAAGTCCAAATAGGGGACGATCACTACTCACCTTGTTGGACTCAGTCCAAGGCTTGTGAACGTCACTCTCCTTCAGTTCACCGTCTTCAATCGGAGACATCCGTTTTTCCATCTGTAGTTTCGTTTGATTATAGTGGGGGGGGGGGGAATCATTGCGTGAGCACTCCTGTGGAAACTCCCCTCACCCAAAAGGCAAACGCGTACCTTTTCAACCATTTCAGTGATGCTGAAGTTCTCTGGGGAACAGTTTGAATCTTGGCTTGATCTAGAGGGGACCTGCCAGATTAAAGGCTATTAACAATATATTACCGACCTCAAAATGAAAAGAAAAGGTGAGTGACACACATCAAGCCACTGAGAGAAGCTCAGCCAGTGATATAACAAGAGTTTTGAGGGTTGCTGGTTATCCTCCCCGCCCACACCAACAGATGTTTCTGTCTTTCTCCCCACTGATAAAACGCAAAAGCCAGTGACAGCAACTTGGCTCTTTTTAGTAACAAACTAACATTTCACAATTTAATCACAAAACTTTCATATAAACTAAACGCACATAGGCTACAGACAACAGTTAACTTCCTTTTACATTTGCACTTTTTTTTTTGTAAATCACCTTTGTAATACAGAATGAGAAAATTTTACTGTGTGTGATTGTGTTTTTTTTAACTATGAATACACAAAGAAAACAATGACATTGACTGCCGGGTCCTTGTGGGACATTGCCGCTGAGCAGGACATTAGAATCCTTGTCAAATAATTTCAAAGTGTACCTCTGATCCTAATGTTGAATGTTGATCGAAGGCTGATGCGCCACTTTGCGTCCCTTTGGGAATCTGAACAGCCCTCCCACTCTGTGTCGAATTAGAAACCTTCTTCAAAGTTGGCTTGCGACAAAGATTCTCATTTTTTGAGGCACAAGCTGCAAAGCGCTACGAGAGACCAGACTCAAATCAATTTAATAAAATACTGGATTCAACAGGGGGCAAAATACATGAAAATAAAGGATATTGCCTGCAATTATTTACCCGTCTTGGTGAAGGTAAAAAGCGCTGCTGGTAAACGTGTCCATCCTGAGAGAGCACATCCACCTGTGGATAAAGGAAGTACAGTACTTGGCATCATTCAAGTTCAAGTCAACTTTATTGTCAGATGAAATTTCTTTCCTCTCAACCACAGGAGAGAGAGGAGCATTATTTATTGAGTCTCACGACCACAGCTGTATTAAAACACATTGTAAAACGATTTGGGATTTTTAGAATAAAACCCCCACGCCAAAAGACTTGTGTCATGGCCAAGTGTCCCAATACTTTTGTCTGCACCGTGATTGTCAAACTTTCTCCCACCTGACTGCATTCTTGCTCTTCTGACTGTTCATCTTCCTGGTTTGATCCTTTGGAACATACAGGGGGAAAAAACATCACTAAGGATGCTTAACAAGAAATTTGATACAGTTAAAAAACCAAAAATAAAAAAACGAAGTGGTGATTCAGTACCTGAGTCACTGTCTTCATTGCTGTCATTATCTGACTCTCTGGGACAAAACACAACTTTCTCCACTAATTTGAAGGTATTCTGTTTAGCCTGCAGCCTCCTCAGCTTCCTCTCATACACAGCCCTGGTGGAGCCTCAAAAGGCAAACATTCTTACTGACGACCTCAGCTGAGAAAGTGCTCATAAGGTTGGCAAAAATAAACAAAAAAAAGCAACCTTACCCACTATTGGCCCAGCTTTGACCCCGTACACAAGTAGTGCAGCCTTCAGGTCGTCATCAGTCAGCATATCCAGGTTATATTTATGTCCATCTTTTGGCTTCTCTTCCTGCAAAACGGTGTTACAGTGGAAGCGTTTAGAACCACTGAAATATCCACAAAAACATGTGAAAGTGCTTATATAGGTGCTGCACGAAAATAAACAACAACTCACGCCCCCTCCAAACAGCAAAAAAAACAAAAACAAAAAAAAACCTTACATTTCTCTAAAGCCCGGTGTCAAAGTCAAGGCCCGGGGGCCAGATCTGGTCCGCCACATCATTTATGTGGCCCGCGAAAGCAAATAAAGCATATCAAGTTCCATGATGCTTGCTAAAGTCTGAACCAAAATTTCAAATTGTCATATTTATTTTATTACACAATACTTGGTTACCTCTTTTTCTTATCTCGCACTCGACAA